GCGGGGCGGTGCAGGGCGTTGCGGAGCGGGGGCCGACGCGGCGCAGAGGCAGGAGGGCGAGGGGGACCCCTGCCCTGGGGACGCGGGTGGGAGGCCCGAGGGGGCGGCCTGGCCTGGAGCTGAGCCTGGAGCGCTGCCCGCCGGACAGGCCCTGGGAGCCCGGGGGAGGTGCGCAGGCTCAGAGCCCCTTCCTGGGCCCAGCTACCCTTTGAACCCTGGGAGGGTGCTTGGCCCTGTTTTCTGAGCCTCAGAGACGACCACAGCCTTGGTCTGAGCCCCACGAGGACCCCAAGTCCTCCTCCTGAGCCCTGGGCAGCCCCTCGGGGTCATTTTCTGACCTCCCTTTCTCAGCCCCAGAGGGATCTCTGGCCTTCTCTGATGGCCAGGGGCACCTCCCTGCCGGTCCTTGAATTCCAGGGGTTCCCCAGCCCTGCCCCTCTGAGCCCCAGCCAGACTTTGCTGTTCCCTTAAGTGCTGGGGTTTCCCTCGCCTCTCTGAGCGGGAAGAGAATTCCCTTCTCCCGTTCTGAGCTCCCCTGGGGGCCCCAGCTCTGAGCCCCAAAGGGGACCCGAGTCTGCGTCCTCACCTCTGAGCCCACAGGAACTCGGCCCTTCTCTCACGGGCTTCCCTTCCTGGGTGCCTGGGTCCCTTTCCTCGGTCTCCCCTTTGGGGCTCCTCGGGCAGCAGCCTCCCCCTCAGCTCTCCTTCCACTGGGGCGCCGGCCCCTCCTGGGCACCCAGGGTCTATCTCCGGCCACAGAGTGCCTTGCTTCCCCGGACCCGGGCATCTTCCTGGCACCCAAGCCCTCCCTGACCTCCCAGGCTCCCCCTCCAGGGCTCTGGTTCCTCTTCCAAGTCCCAGCGGCGCCTGCACTCGGCACCTGAGGGTGCGGGGAGGACCTGGCTGTCCTCCGTGAGCAGCGGGAGGCCCCTGTCCCTCCGGAGCCCAGGCCGCTCCCTCGGAGCCCGGCTTTCTCGGGACGCTCTCTCGGACGCCCTGGACTCGGCGGCCACAATGATGATGTGGTCCAACTTCTTCATGCAAGAGGAGGACCGGCGGCGCGGGGTCACCGGGCTGCGCAGGGCCCGGCCGCGGTCCAGGCTGACGCCGGAGCTGGAGGGCAAGACCAAGCTGGTGCTGCTGCTGGCCGCCGTGGGCGCCACGCTGGCCGTGCTGGCCGTGGGCACCGAGTTCTGGGTGGAGCTCAACACCTACAAGGCCAATGGCAGCGCCGTGTGCGAAGCCGCGCACCTGGGGCTGTGGAAGGTCTGCGCCAAGCGCCTGTGGCAGGCCGACGTTCCCGCGGGCAGGGAGACCTGTGGCCCCGCGGAGCTGCCCGGAGGTGAGCGGCTCGAGTCCTCGGATGGTGAGCGTGGCCCTGCCCAGAGACCGCCTGTGTCCACATCCCCAGAGAGACCCTGAGCCCCAAGGGGAGAGCTGGCCCCCTAGAAAGACTGTGTCCGGGGTCCGCCCGAGCTCCAGGAACAATCCTTCACTGGCTGGCCCAGCAGCCTCTGCCCCAGAGCTTGTCCACTGTCTGCGGCCTGCACCCTCAAAGCAGCCTGTGCCCAGCGAGTGTCTGGGCCCCAGACCAATGTGCACCCCAGCTGCGTCTGAGCCCTGAGAGTCCATGCTTCCAGGAATGAGACCCAGGGGCCAGCGGGTGGCATGGTGGTTAAAGCAGCTGCACTCCCACGTGGCCAACTGCAGTTCGAGTCCTGGGTTTGAAACGCCGGGCTCATGTGCATGTGTGCCCAAAATCCTGAGAGAATGCAGGAGAAGGGATTGCAGTGTGGCCATTCTCCCAGGGGGTGATTTCTCAGTTCCTCTCTCTCTCTGTCTCTCCGTCTCTCCTCTCCAGCGAGCACACGTGCCCTACAGCAAAAATCTAACAAATAAACAAATCTGAGGCCCAGAACTGGTCTTCCAGCTTTGGCCTCTGCTCCAGGTACAGGTGAGGGTGTGCTTATGCCCCAGGCCTCTCTCTGCTCCCAGAGAGACTGTCAGTACTCCGAGATGAGCCTGCGCCCTGGGCCAGCCTCACCTGGAGGCCAGCCTGCACCCGAGACCACCTCGTTTCCCCGAGCGAGCCTGTGTTCCCACACTGGCTGTGACCTCAGACCCGCCTGGGGCCTAGACTGTCCCAGGTCCCTGTGCCGAGCCCGTGCCCCACCGCCATCTGTGCCAAGACTGTTCTGTGCTACCAGAGGGGCCTGTGCGCTGAGCCCAGCCGGCATCTGCCAGCCGGCCCATGTCCCCAGCTGCAGGCAGGCCAGCCAGGAGCCCCATCCGGCCTGTGCTCTCAGGCCACCCTACAGTCCTTGAGCCCCTCCCCCAGCACAGGATCGAGCCCCCAGGCCAGCCTGTACTTCCAGAGAGCTGGCGTCCTTAGCGAAAGCTCCCCGTGTCACGGCTAGCCTGTGCCCACCCGATGGCCTGTGCCCGGGAAAGGTGACTTGGGCAGCTGGTGTCGCTTGCTCTTCCCCACTCTGGGACGGCCTGCACTCTGTCCGTGAGCCCTGGGCACACAGCTGCCTCGACAGCAGCCCCGCTGTGGAGTGTGCGCCAATTCCCATCTTCTTGTTCCTCTGAACTAAGCGCCCACGACCGCCCAGCATGCCAGCGCGGCCTCAGCCGAGGAAGTGTTCTTTGATTGCCTTTCCCTCCCTCTAAGTGCCCACGCTGGCCGGCCGCTGGCCGCCCCAGCCCTTCTCTGCTCTGCCGGACACACCCACACTCCTCTCCCACAGAGCGCTTCTCTTACCACTAGCCATGCCAGAGCGAGCCCATCCCTCTCCCCCAACCGCCAGCGGGAAGTTCTATACCTTCGGGGACTAGACGGGCTCTCGCTGCAGCTCTAGCGCCCCGAGGAAAATACCTGACGCCCCAGAGTCTGAGTCCAGGATGTGTGCTGTCATGGACCTGCCTGTCCGTGACGTGTCCTGCCCTCAGACCCCTCAGGATGCCTGCTGCCCTCCGACTTCCAGATGGGCTTCCCTCCTCTGCCACTTCCCCACAGCCCCAGGGCCCAAGTTAGGGTCTCAAGCTCTTGATAGCAAAGCGGGATGCCAGATGGCCCGTGCCGTTTGAGCTCCCGCTCGGCACCAGGGTCGCTTTTTTGCTTTTTAATTACCAGAAGGAACGTGTGCTTCCCAGAGACAAAGAGGAAGGGGGAGAGAGAAAGACAGTGAGAGAAGGCATCTCCCACGCCACGATCCTGTCCCATCTCTCCGCCCGCTGGGACCTCGGGCATGCACACACATGCGCCTGGCAGACCCTGCAGACCACTGGGGCCATGGCCCGCTGCGGGTCAGCCCTGTGGGGTCTGCTCCCTGACTACTGCAGGCACCCCTCCAGGGCCAGCCGCCTCCTCAGGTGAGCTGTCCTTCGTCCCTCAGGGTCTCAGGCAAGATGACCCCCCACCTGCAAACTGGGCTGCCCCAGTAATGGGAGTCTGCGACGGCCTGCGTGGTTGCTCGTGCAGTGCCAGCGCTGTCGCTCCCTTAGACCACGCGTGTCAGGGCTTCCGGCGGCACAGGCTGCCCGGGCTGGCCGGCCGGGCCTGCTCCTGGCTGCCTGCAGTGCGTCTTACCAGGCCACGCAGAGCCCCCCCCCAGGTCCTCACTGCACCGAGGGGGGTCCCTTCCCACCCGCGTAAGACGGGCGCCCCCTTCTGTCTGTCTGGTCGAGAAGGACTTCAACCTCCTTACGGGACCATTTCCACCCCACCCTCCAACCCCTCAGAGAACACCTCGGTGCCGCTGCCCATGGCCCGTCCAAGGCACCTCATATCTCCCTTGGCTACAAGGAGGGGACCCACACACTCTTTTCCAGATGGGACAGCTATGTCCTTTATGTCTTGACCCCGTCAAGAGGCAGGATATCCTAAATTAAAAAAAAATAAAAAAGTTCATTACGTTTTTTTTTTTAATTTAACCATAGAAAGAGAGAGAGGGAAAGTGAGAACGAGAGCCTCCAGGTCTGGGACTCAAACCGAGGTTGGCCATGTGGAAGTCCAGCACCCTTAACCACCACGCCACCCACTGGCTCCAGGATGTCCCCGATTATGAGTAGACCAACTGGGATGCCAGACACCCTACGTTGTCCCAGAGGGACTCACCCCTTCCCTGTGGATGCCGGACACGTCCCCTCCTGACCATGGCGGGGACCATCCCCCTCCCTCCACAGCCACAGGCTTCCCCATTAGCCTCGTAGCTGCAGGGGGAGGGATTGGCCC